TTTGGAGGTGTATCCCATTTTGACTTTGGGACTTCCAGCCTGTACTCGGCACAGATGTTTCTGTACACTATGCCAGCCACTTGGTTATGGCGTTCCTTGTATGTGCTGCCTGCTAGCATCTTGCACCCCGCTGTAATGTCAGCCTGCACCTGGGGTCTTGCCTGTTATGGTAGACCCCGGCCTTGATCTTGTACTTAGTGCTTGTTCTATACATACATACATACATATATACATGCATATGAAGTGTTTAAACACTTCACAATGTTATCTGAAACAGTGAAGGACTGAATCCTTTGCAAACCCTTTGATTGGGTATTCATCCAAATGAAGAGGACTCACATCTGTATAGGACCTTTTGTCAGCACTGTCATGTCCCATCTTCTTTTAGCTCTACAGCACATGATTATTGATCTTTTCAGCAGCACAGTTCATTCCTATTGATCCTTTCTAAACTATGATGAATGTCTTCTCTGCAATGGGTTTAAGTTAGGGCATATAGGACCAAGAGGCTTAGATTTATCATATCTCTAATGTACCTGTAATTCCAGCATGATAGTTTAAGTTTTTGGTTTCCAGTAGATAAAATGCATCATGCCTTGGAGCACATAGTACTGGGTTGATTTTGTTTCTTAACATTGACCCAACAGGGAATGGCACAAAACTTGTACTTTGCCTGATGTAGTAGAAAATACAGTAACATTTGATAAATTATTATTTGTCTGCAGGTAAAGTATGACTGATGTATTCTTAATCTGAAGACATTGGCAGAGATAGACATTTCCTAATTTTGCCCCGGGCTCAAACCACACAACTCTCAATCAAGCTATCCATCACACTTTACAGCCTCTCACTATTTGATCATAAATGTGAACAACAGCCACTGAGGTCTGACAAAAAGATCTTCCTAGAGGAGTATAAATGTTGTAAGAGCTGCGTTATATGCTTATATTTAAAGAGGTAATTCAGTTTGAGTGGTCCTGTTACAGGTTCATTTGCTGTGGCTCACTAGGGGATTATGACCTATGGTCTGTACATTGTTGACTAATGACCTTATAGGATTGCACCTTGTTATTACAGCAGTCTTTTGTGAAAATATATAAACACAACACTCACACAAATTACCATAATTCACACAAAGAAAACCACATGTAGTGTGTGCACACTCAAAATGACATAAGACAAAAATGTAACACTCCAACATACGCTCGGTATTAGGAGTGTAACAATCCATTGTTCTTGAACGATGCTTTGATCAAACACCTTGCGATCTGATGACAATGATGCAAAACGTAAATATTGATGTTTTGTTTGCTTTTATTTTGACAGCCAGCCGCATACATAAGCATTTCCAGTGAAGCACTGTTTTTTCAAACTGGACAACAACTACCAGGCAATGCAGCTAGCATTCTGAGAATTCCCATTAAAAGTGAGATGTGAATTATAGTGTAAGCAAATGTAGTGAAACTGATAACATACTGTTGAAAATGACTGTGTTCCAAGGCTTTTAGATTTTTGTTAATAGCCAAATTATAACTCTCAATGGAACTTTGAATAGGGTTTTCTTTCTTCCAGAACACAACCTGGAAGTTTTGGTTTCACTCTGGCTCTCTATTGGCTTTGAATGCATTCACTGCCTCTGAAGTTTGCTGTTTGTCTAAGCACATGTGGTGATGAGTGGATTTATTTCCTTGTACATGCTTTTAGGAGTTTTATGTGCTCGTGGCAAGATGGACGGCTTTGAATGTCTGTTTGTGTATCTCTACCCTCAAAGTAAAATTTTACGTGCTTAGTCACCTCACTGTATGCAGTTGATCAATCTCTTTACTCTCCTTGTGAGCAAATTTTACCAAGTCAAACAGCTATTGTCTGTAGAACAGTAATGCTGGCCATGGTGGGGTTTCTTCTCATTCCAGCCCTCCTGCTTTGCAGCAGATAATACAAAGAAGCCATCAGTACAGGGAGTTATTTGTTTTATTCATTAAAAATGAGAGGCTTTCTCTCTAAATTGAGCTGGAGCCTGCGTTAAGGTGCAGCCTCTATCTTCTCCATATCGCTGCAGCGCATTAGCAGTAATGAGTGCATAAGCTACTGAAGCATTTGATCTATTCACTCTACACTGACTCTTGCCTCTGGGCCGCATCACTGTCATCAGAGCAGCTGTTCGTCTGTCAGCAGGGCAGTGAACGGACAAATGGTCTGTGGGGATTACGCTTTGTTAAACGCACCAGAGAGAAGACACATGAAGCGTAGAAATAGGGTGGCGTGTGTCTCACACGCATGTCTTTGAGTCAGTGTGCAATGACACATTTGATACATTGGAGTTTTATCTGTTGCGTGAGAGGGCAAGTGACAAAACACTTTCTATGAGAATTGCCCTTGACCTGTAGCAGCCAAGAAAAATACATAGATAAAATAAACTCCCATCCGAAACAAGTCATGGGTATGGAAGTATCCTGGATTAAAAAAGACACACACAACAAGAAGTGTGACTGTTAAGTTTTAAACAAAATTCCCACTGCAATGTAGGAAGCATGTTTTTGTATGTGTGACAGTGTAAATGTTTCCTATCTCAAAAATATTTGTTGAATTAGAAGGTCGCCACCGGTCCTTATTTGTATTTAAATAGCACTTCAAATTGAACCCCCCCCCCCACCAGTATTTTGTTTGGCTCCAGATGAGCTAAAAACCTAGTAGAAAGAGTAAATGAGACAAAAATAAACAAACCCTTTTATTCAAGAGATGGTGGCTATTTGATTGCACATGGGGATATATGTGGTGCCAGGTTCCTGTAGCTTCATACTTCTGTTCATCTATTGACACAGAATTGCTGGGCAGTGATTAAAAAAAACATGTTTCTGTTAGACTTGAATCAAGGTTGTGTTTCACAGCTCCTAAAAAGATTTCATTTTGTTCAAAGGAAGTAGGTTTTCATCCAAAGCGAGTATGGTCTCCCTTCTCAAGGCTACTAAAAGGTCAGGGCTATACTCTGAATCAGTAGGGGAAACAGCAGGAGAGCACAATTTGAGACCCCTCAGTAATCACACAAATTGCACTCTTCTCTAGGAGCTCAATACATTTTTAAAATTATACTTCTGTTACATTGTAGTTAATAAAAGCATAATTATGTGAAATAGGTAGATAATATTGCTTGATATCGATCACAGGCCCCTGAAGTGAATTAAATCAAAATTGCATCATGGCATATTTTTAAGTATCGTCAAACATAAGATCGCTGGAAAAGAGAATCGATATAGGATCGTATCATGATGAGAGTGGCAAGAGTACACCCCTATTCAGTATAGAGTCAGTTTCCATGTTGTGGAAAAATAAATCATCTAGTAATAGATTTCTGCTCTTAATATCTCTCTCCATAAAGTTTTAATGAAGTTTGCATGGTGGGCTCAGCTGTGACTATATCGGTTCTAAACTGCTGAGAGGGGTAATACTGCTGTAATGTTTTCCTTTGCCGAAATAGCTTTTTTGATAGACTTTTTTTTATAAGAGGTTGCAGTTATTCTGATGCATTTCTCACTCATTGGCTTCTCTGTTTGTCTCTCTCATTGCAGAGTGCTCAGTTCTACAAGGTCACCACAGAGCAATACCATAAAGCTGCAGACGAATTGAATGCCAAATTCAAGTAAGTTCAAGCAGTTGATTCACATTACATTACCTTAATAGATTTTCTTTGACTTCGCTGCATTTGTTCACAAAAAGCATCTTATTGTCGTGCACAGAACGCTCATGAACTTAGATCTCGGTCAGCTTTATGTGTACTGACACATGAAAAAAGCAAGTGAACCTTTTTCACAAAAGATTAGAAATCCACGTGGAGCAGTGAGCACACTATTGAATTATGCTAGCCACATTCTAATCTATGTCTTTCAATCAGAACCACAATTGCCCAGCCTATTAGTCGATGTTGATGATGTGGTTCACTGATAAGCCTGATTGCATGTTGATGATGGCTGATAGGGCTTTTTCTTGTGGTCTTTTAATGTTTCAGTGTTAGAAGAGAATCATTTACTCTGTAAAACTATCTTCAACCAGGACTGTGTCAGACAGAATTATCAAGTAATTTGAAGCCGTTTTCTTAAATACATCACCACACAGTGTAAGATATGTCTACGCTGCAGAAAAATTAATACACTCAATGTGAAAAAGATTGACTCTTTTTCCCTCTCTTTTTTTGTTTTGTTTTGTTTTTTGTGTCACTTTTTATATCTAACCACCAGAGTATATGTAGATGCCTTTGGCAGAGGGTCCACACATGTACTGTAGCCATGCTGGGTGTGCTTGCACCTTACCTTTTTATGTATGGTATTGAAAGTACGTGTGTTGTTTGTGTGTGTATGTGTATTGTAAGTGAGACTGCAATCATTGTCACATATGGCCTTTTGTCCTCCCAAGTGGATTAGCGCACTGATTAGTGGCAGCTTTGCCATTTAGACAGGTATTATTACCGTATACTTAGTATTCTAGACATAGACTGAAATCCAGCCCGTCTGCCTCCCTTTTTCTCTTCCAATGGCTCAATCTCGGCACCCAGGAGAAGTCTTATTCTTGCCTCTTTAGCAGGCCCCAAAATCTTTTTTTTTTTAGTTTTTTTTTTTTTTATCTGTGCAAAAGCTTCTCTTTTAAATCCTTTTCCTTAACTCTCGATAGTTTCTTTGTCTGCACTGAAAACCACTTGATTCAAAGCCATGGAGGTATAGATACAGCATGAGCTTACAAGTTAACTCTTAAACTTTGCGCGCGCTCTTTTTATTGTGTTATGCATACAAACTAATGTCTGCCTGAGGGACATCTGCTGTGGCCCCTTTATTTTGTTGTTTTGCTGTATGTGTTTCCTGAGAGTCCTTTTAGTCATCAATCTGCTAACTGCCCCATAATGCTACACATTTTTTTCAAATATTTGGAATAATTTAAAATCTGTTAGAATTATTGTTGAAAAATTTTTGTAACAGTCACTTAAACTCTTTTGGAAATTCATGCCTGGCAATATAAAAATGCAATGAGGATCTGTGGGACTTCCTAGTTTAATTGCTACTTATGGGATAGGGGGCCCTACATAAATATGAATCATTCCAGTTTTATTTCATTCCTTCTTTCAAGCTCGGGTCTTTTTGTCATCTATTTTTATCTAAAGTACATCATTCTACTATGAATGTATAACACATGTGGTCCTTACTCCTAACACTGAAAGTACTATGCTACAGTATGTGCTGCAGTATGCTCTAAATACAAGTTACATCCACACCTTGTAGTGACAAAAATGATTGCTTATTTGAAGTTATTAGCAGAGAGGGTAATGCTAATCATCCAAGCGTTCATGGACGTAGCACATATCCAACACATGTATGTAACTCAAGAAGATCCCAAAGTCCTCCCCATCCGTGTTCCATCTGTCTTTCTAATAAGAGACCATTAGGCTCCATAGTAATGTAGGAAAAGTGGATGAGGAGCCCGCAGGAGCTGGAGCAAGAATGGGCCCTGACTGAGCTGTCCTCCAGGGAGGCTAGGCTAATTGTGTTAGCTTGTCATTAGCCAGCGCTAACACTGGGATCATTGTCTCCCTCAGAAATGCAGGAAACTGATTAGCCTAGCCCACTGGGGGTTTAGCACTACACTGGTGGAAGCCGGAGCTGAGACTACCCAAATCGCATTAAAGAAGGGGGAAAAAAACACCGGAATAACATTAGTGCCAAATGAGAGTGCTAACTGCAAGTGAACAATGGGCCAACGTACATGTAGTCGTGTGACGCAGGCCTTTGCACAAAGAGCAAAGGTGGATGTGATTATAGGAGGTGCATTACCAGGGTTGTGACTGTATTACAATAGTGGAAAAGTAGAAGAGGGAGGAGTTATCTGTGCATGTGTGTATGCTAATGAAATGGCGGGAAGGTCTGGTGCTACAAGATGGGCAAGGATGCATTGAGGGGATCAGAGGAGAGGGTTAATTGGATTTAATAGGGTGTGTTTGACCCATCTTTGTTTATTTGTGAGTTCATGCATGATGGTGTATGCTTGTATGAACTCGTATGTGAACATAATGTGTGTGCCTGTCCTCAAAGCTCTCTCTTATGACAGAGACCCTACAGAGATAAGATCTTATCTGTGGCCTCTGTTGAATACAAAGAGGAAATATTTTTTGTCTCACACAGGCTTTTGATTTCCTCAAAGTTCAAAATGTCCCCCGGAGATTTAAAAAAAAAGAGAGAGAGAGAGAGAGAGAGGTAAACTAGGATTTTACCAGTACTTGATAGAATTAACATTTGATGAGGTAATGTGAAGATGTTATAAAATGAGAGAGATGACATCTTTCTTATGAAAATGTCTTCATTTCCCCAGTCTAGCTCATGACAGTGCAGCTGTAAAGAGATTGACAGCAGGGATTGATTAGTGTTGGGGCTGATATTATGATATGGTTTAGGAGAAGATGTGTGGGACCAAAGGAGATTGTCTGTCAGGGGTCATAACATCTGTCTGTATGCTCTTTGATGACTTAATTAGGTGCATATCAGTAGGGAATTTGTAGGATATCTCTAGTATAAAGTTGTTATTACTGTGTGACATCAGAGTCGAGTCAAGCTTATATTTATGCCTGGTAGACTAGTGGTTAAGCCGCAGCGCTCTCACTGCTGCAGCCCGGGTTCGAGTCAGGGCTGCGTCAGGAAGGGCATCTGGTGTAAAACACGTGCCAAATGTCAATATGCAAATTGTAAGTGTGATGATTCGCTGTGGCGACCCCTAAACGGGAAAAAGCCCAAATTGACATTCACACAGGTTGTTTGGGGTGATGCTCTGTAACAGTCAACTTGGGAAATTCTTGTTGTTGGTTTGAAACAGGATCAGATCAGGATGAAATAAAAAATTAATTACTGAATGTAATGTACACATGGTTCCGAGGTCGTTTATAAATGGCTGGTACAAATCGACTTCAGCAGGTAGTTAGTTTGCATGTACTATTCATACAGCAGCAATGGGACGGTATACCGTAGTCATTTCCCTTGGAAAAGTTAAGAGAAATAATGTGTGAGAGGTATTCAAGGGAGAGGAGGGTGTGTTTGTACGTAACAGTGTTGTATGCATACAATATGCGGTTGTGTATGTGTGCAGTTGTTTGCATAAGGTGTGTGGTACAGGTGTTCCCTGCTGTTCTGCAGTATTCCTGCCATAGATTTCCGAGAACAATGGAGCTTTCCCAACTAGAACACTACTGCATCACTGTGACCTCGTTACATCCACACTCTCACAAAAACACACACATACATATACTGTATATGTAGATATAGATGGCCTATGGATAGATATATCAGAAGATCTGCATATATCTACATTTTTTCACACTTTCTTACAGCTGCAAAAAGCCATAACAATACCAATATGCCAAATAAACATCCCTTTAATATATATTCATTTAATATTTTTGCATTTTTATATTATGCTTCAAATTATTCTCACAACAAATTTATATGACGCAAGAACTGAACAATAAGTATAAGAAAACACTGCTAAAACTGTCAGTTTGTCCAGGGTCTGAAATTGTTGCTATGAATCATAAACTGCAGGGTATGTGCTCTCCAAGACCTAGACAAAAAACATTTGTTGTACAGTTCTTCCATGTATACGTAAATGTAGACAACACGTGATAATAATGTAATAATGTTGGACACACAGGCAAACATACTGTATAGGACCAAAGCTTTTATTCACTCGTCCTGTGACACTGAGTGTAGATAAGAGTTCCAGGCTGCCTGTGGAGAGCAGGCTATCTCTTTCTGCGCCTGATTTATATGCTGCCATGTTAACCACTAGTTGTTTATGCAAGTCTGATGCATTATCACACCTTCCAGCTCTGAATGTATGACCTTTACTGCACTACATGTAAGAGTGCACATGTGTGCTTTGCTTTGTCAAGATGAATGGATTTGAGTGTGCCCATGCACATGTGCATGTGGATATCTGCATTGGAGCGTGTGCGCACACATAATGTCTCGACAGGCTGCAGCAATCCAGTGGGACTTTAGTTTGAAATGCAAGCTGACAGGCATGGAGGAAACTGATAGATGTGAGATTATGCGAAAAGATGGAATGGGAAATGAAAGAACTGTGGCATCGTCCTAAGCCCTGGTGTCAGACCTAACCTTTGCTGGTGTTTTGAGCTTCTTTGTTGAAGTCAGTCAAAAGGTTGTGTATTTTTGTGCATGACATAAGTGTGCATGTGTGTCTAAGCCAAACGTTTTCAGTCTCCCTCCATACAGTTGGCCATACAGAATGAAATCTCATTTTATTCTGTCACTGCACTGTCAATCCTCTCCTCCCTGAGGCTACAAACTCACTTCCATTGTCTTTTGTTTGTACTGTATTTTGTAGTCTTTTGAATACATCTTTTTTTTAATTTAATCCTGGAGACAATAATAGCAGCCACAGTCCTCGCTTCGTCTCTCCGCACACATACACGCAGAGGTGGAATGAGGAGGCGTGGAGCAAAACCTGTTGAATGTAAATGGATCGTTGTTTTTCTTCACAACACTGGTGTACTGTGCTGCCTCGTTCAAGAGACCACACCTGACAGTCTGTTTTTTCCTCCGTACCATGTGGAACAAAGCAACACCCACTCCTCCCTCTTTCAGCCCA